GACAGCGGTGGTGAGAGAAAATAGAGTGCACTTGGTAGGCCTCTCCATTGTGGGTGACAGTATGAAAGACAGACAGACAGACATTATCGTGCCATGTTGTTTACCATATCATCACTCATAATATTTAAAGTGTTTACCATGGAAGCTGTGACCCCCCCCCCTCCCTCCCCACATCAATGGCTGCCGAGTTGCGCTGTGACGTGATCCAGGTTTATGGTGGTTACTCCTCCTTTTGGTCTTAACCCGGAAATAGATGTTTATTCTATTTGACAGTGGGTTCACGTGTCTGTTTGTTAATTGCACACACACACACACACACACACACACACACACACACATATATATGAAGGTGTATTGACGTATGGTACACAATGGAGTGGAGCACGATCATTGCCACCGTATCACCACCACAATCACACCATCATCACTACCACCATATAACTACCACTACGACCACCATTACCACACAACACCACTACCACACCACCACCACCACTACGACCACCATTACCACACCACCACCACAACCACACAACCACACCACACAGAACAATCAGTATATTATTTTCACCATCCTGTGAAATAACTACCCAACGTTACCAAGAGACTCGCGTAAGCCTGATGAATCGGTCGGTATCCTTTGGTGGCACTTATTTAGTCGCTACCTAACCCAGTGTCTTGAACCTTCGGTCAATACCTCGACCACAGACTGTACCGAATATTTGCTGGCTAAACTGACCTCCCAAATATTATAGGTTCAGTGTCCATACTAGTGATAATAGCAGCTAGTTCCTCGGTAGCCTGATGTCTTAGATTATAGGTCAGTAGTGGTAGTGACTGCAGAACTTAGTTGCTAGCATGAAGGGTGAGTGGTATCCTTGACTGGTCAGGATGCCTCCTTGGTGGATTTTTTTGTTATCACATAATGTGTGTGGGGGGGGAGGGGGGCATTGTCACCTCCCTCTCTCTGACCTTGGACGCTGGTGCACCGTACTGCTGTGGGTCGGCCATCGTTCATCTGAGTCACCCACTTGTGGCTTGCTTAATGCGATCATTACTTCCATTACCGCCACCATGTGAGCTGAGGGCGAAAAGTCGGATGAAAGTAAAGACGTATCAAGTTTACAGAAAAATATAGAACAAGGTGACAATAAAGGTAGACGTAGCCTTCTCCTTTCCGCGTACCGACAAAATCCAATTGGTCATAATGCTGGCAGTTACTGTGTTTACAACTCTTATACAGATGGATTCACGTAGGGTGGAAACGTGTCCCACGAGACAATGATGTGACTTTACCCCCTGATTAGTGTCATCTTGCTCCAGGGAACAGGTAGGTCATCCTCTTCAAAAGGTCAAAGCATCGTACTCTACAGATATAAGTCATGGGGTTCAAGGGACTGTGTTAAAGTGATTTTATTAATGAACTAATTTATTGTTGTCAGGGAGTTATAACTTCTGTAGAGATGGGTTAAGAGAAGTAATGACAAGCTACTAAATATTCATTCTCGGTATTTACATAAGTTTTGTACACGTATGAATGTTATCCACATATACAGTACATACTCTATATACGAGATTTTTCGTTCTCTTATCATTATTTTTCTTTCTAATTAATCTGTAGCATCAGGTGACAGGCAAGCTGATAGACCTCACCTGAGCCGCATTAGAGCTTCTCTAATGGCAGTAGATTTATTTTTACAAACAATTTTAACTCAGAATACCAGTATTCCAGATAATTACGGAGTGATTTGTTATCCTAACAGCCCCTTATAGTGATGCAGTTTGGTTTAATTTATCTGTCTATCTCTGCTTATTTTTGTCCTATCCGTTTGTCTGTACTCCCACAACATCTATCTGTCTGTCTGTATATGAAGTCAGGTCTAGTATTCTAGTTTAAGTCATGTACGGAGTCCGAATATCAACAAGACCTCACGTGGCCTCCCCTTACTACCCTGATGACTTAAGCTTTAGGTATCGAAGAGGAAGATAGTGATCAAAGGTCAGGCAGCGACACTCTGAGTGATGGTACTCGTTAGCGCGAAGTAATAACTTGGTTGAGTTACAGCTCGACTTATGTAACTCTGACGCACATAACTAGACGTCACTAATTGGGTAGTTTGGGTGTCCAGTGTTTACCTATTGTCTTAAGGCGGGGTTGCCAGCAATATTGTCTTAAGGTTAAGGATGGATAATATCTCTGTCTTCCTCGATATAAAGAAATATTTATCTTTTACTTTACTTAAGACCAGTAAGAGTGGGGGTTGTGTTGTGCTCATTACTGGAGTTATTATGTAATACTTAGGTCCTTGGCCTTGTTCACACAGCATATGAACAGCAAGAGGAACACAGGTTTAAATGTTAGGTTCGTCTTCCTGGCCGCCTCCCGCATTGACCTCACCATTATCCTTCCCGCTACCTTTGAAAGACAGAGGAATCCTTCTTGATGATTGGTCGTCTGCTTTGCCGTTGGTATGTGGGCCGCTTCTATTGCTCGACTTATCCCTTTATCCAGATCTTGGCAGATTATCCCAATTCTTTGCCTCTATACTCGTACAACCTCTGTTTCAGGCTACGTCCTGATCTCCTTAAACTACGTCTTACTGAAGCCAGACTTTACTTAAGTTAGACCTTACTTAACTAACCTCTAACCAGTTCTACTCTTCTCCTAAAGTTACCTAACTTAACCTCGGCTGACCTATCTATTATCTCTAACATCTAACCTTCTCTTCCATTACAGTAACATAACCCACCGCTAATTTAACCTAACCTAACCAACAGTAATATTTGTATGACATTATTATAAAAGAGGTCAAAAATTAGTAATAACACACAAGAGATCTGATGGAATCGTAAATGAGGTATTGATGACGTCAGCCGTGGGGTTTACATTGCCTCAAAGATAGACCTTTAACAGAGTACTTTATGTGTAAATTTTCACCGTTTGATGTATGCAGATTTTTTGTAGGGTTTGATGTATGTGAGTGTATGTGTGTATGTAAATTTAAGTAAACACACACACACATCCCGGTGCTGCCATAGGTACAGTATGGCAACTCACGTCATCAGATAGAGAACGTCGATTACAATAACAATACCTGAAAAATTACGTTAACAAAATTTTCAGGAATAAATTACACTAATGGATATGAATAAGAGGAAAATATACAGGAGACTTAGTAGGTTTTATTGTATAAGCATCACAAAGAATGTTATTACAATGACATTATAATAGAAATTTACTTAAGGTTCTGCATAGATAATGCTGATGTAGTTAAAGTCTCAATAGTGTGTGTATAGGTAAATTTCCTCAACAGGTATGAAAGAAAAGGAGAAATAATAACTGTTGAATGTGTCTCAATGTGAAGGCTACAGACAGCAGGTATAGTTAAAGAAGGTAGTAGGTAGTTATCAAACAGGGAGGTACTACCGCCTGGGAAGATATTGGAAGCATAATGTGTTGTCTAATGGTAGACCCTGCTGCTATATGGCATCACGAAAATTGTGACCAAGTCCCAGGTTGCTCATCTAACTTTCTGCATCATTTACACACAATTGCAGGGTCTCAATTGTTTCCCTTACTTTGACAACACAAAATATATATCGTTTCTCACTCTTGATTTGTTTTTGTTTTTTTCTCCATTCTTTGCAACTCCTTCCCCCCCCTCGTCCCCGATGTGGGTGGGTGACCTGTACCTGGGTGGACTAATGAGTAGTTTACCTGCCGGGTATATGACGAGGAAAAGCGAAATAATAACTTGACGTCTTGTGATGTGCATCTCTCAACAACGCTAATGTTCCCACACCATCCTACACAAGCCTTTGGAATTAGCATATCTAAGAATCCCATTTCCATCACAAGAGACATACACACACACACACGACCCGGGAGCGTCAGCAGTGTCTCCTCTTAGTCCTAGGAAACATCAAGGAAATAGCCACCGGGATCCGTACCCTAATGCTTCTATCGTCACTTTGGCTTTTATCTGGTTATTCTTTTGTGGTTAATCATTGTATTTATTCTCAGCCATAAACCATAGATCATCCGTGTCAGTCTGTCACAAAAGGTGAATGAAAGGGAAGGGCTCGAAGTTCAGGATCCCATCTGTGTGATCAACTGAACCTGCTGCAAGGCTCACTTTACCTTGGTCGTCAGTGGAGCGTCTGAAAGAGTATATTATGTTTGTATGTATGGCTGGAGGCATATAAAACACGTGTCTCAAGGCAGTGAATGAATGGATCTTGTTTACAATGGTAGAAAAGGAAAATTGCATCTGTTGTATGTGTGTGAAAAAGTGTTACATTATAATGGTTTTGGCATCATGGCACAATAAGCGAAAGATTAAATGACGTTTTTCAGACAAAAAATCGAAGAAATGAAAAGGAATTACACAGAAAATGAATCCTTGATATCGCGTCTTCCCTCGACAGGTTGTCATATAGAAGTCACTGTCCGTCCGATCTTCCACTCAATTTGTAAACAATGACATCAGACGAGCATTGATGAACGTTCCCCAATTTGGGTGTTTCAAGAACTCTTCCCTAACGCCCACGTCTCCGCCGGGCCCTCCCATAGGCCATACCATCAGGCCGGGAACAAGAAGCGTCGCACGTGAAAACGATTTTCTGTCAATCTGCTTTTATGGAGTCGTGTAAATGGATGGATGGGTGACAAAATGGATGTACAAGAGACAAGTGTGTAGTTGTAGGAGGATATGTGGTCGTAGAATATGTTGGGGGTATGAGGTCGTAGAATATGTAGGGGGTTATGAGTTATGAGGTAGTAGATATCGGCGAGAATTTGACCCAGCAAGTAAATATCCTGTAATTTTTCTTTTGGCGTGTTTGTTGTTTGTATCAGCTCGCTTTCTCTTACCGTGTACTGTATCCGCACTGCCTCTAACCTAACCTAACCTAACCTACTTGTCCTCTCTTCCTTCAATACAACTTCTTTATTAATATGGACAGTTGTTTCCACGTCTCTTTTATGACAGGACTCGAACACCCTCAACCCGATGTTGCTGTTATTGGAGTCTGTAGAAGCTTCGGTGCCTAAGGCTGTGTTGTGTCCCTCTTGTGTGTCACCCTCCCCCCTCGTGTGTCACCCTCCCTCTCGGGTGTCACCCCCCCCCTCGTGTGTCACCCTCCCCCCTCGTATGTCACCTTCCCCCTCGTGTGTCACCCTCCCCCGCGTGTTTCCCCCTCGTGTGTCACCCTCCCCCGTGTCACCCCTACCCCTCGTGTGTCACCCTCCCCTCGTGTTTCCCCTTGTGTGTCACCCTCCCCTCGTGTGTCACTCTCCCCTCGTGTCCCCCTCTTGTGTGCCCCTCCTCGTGTGTTCCCATCGTGTAGCCCCGTGTGTGTGTCCCTCGTCTCCTCGTGTGTCCCCCTCCCCTCGTGTGTCCCCCTCCCCTCCGTGTTTCCCCCTCCCCCCTCGTGTGTCCTTGTACAACTCATGTAACTGATAATCATAGATGTCTCGTGGAGAACTTAACCAAAATATAGTAGCAGTATTCAGGTCTGATGGGATCACATTATTAGTGGTTTCCCCGACGTGTATTTCTCATAACTGGATGTTTAATATTTTTCATAACTCAATGAAATAAGCTAACTAACTAACATTCATAAATAACACTAAGTTTACATTAACACTGGACCTTAAGTAGATACATTTACTTAACACCAGGAAAGTTGATTGTATAGATATGTAAATACCAAGATATGTGAACACGCCTGACGGCAGGACTCTGTTACCATTCATCGTACCATTTATTCACATGTCTGTATTACTACATATTATTATAGCATGTCTGATATCTATGCTTATGTCTAATGCCTATGTTCACTTACCATGTACCGATGTACTATGTCTGTACCGCGCTAGTCGAGTAACTAGAAGACCTTATTTATTGTCCTAGTAATGTCTAGCAACTCTCCTTGCCTAGCTAGCTAACTTCCCTCAGATCGGCTTCGGCCTGCCTACGGCACGGGGTCCTTTTTGCTTGTCCCTGTTTTTCTGTACCTGTTGGTTATCCTGCCAAGTCTTGTACTACTTATTGAATTTATCTACTGCTCGTGCCCTGG